AAAAAAAAAAAAAAATACAAAAATTAGCTGGGCATGGTGGCACATGCCTGTAGTCCCGGCTACTCGGGAGGCTAAGGCAGGAGAATTGCTTGAACCTAGGAGGTGGAGGTTGCGGTGAGCCGAGATCGCGACATTGCACTCCAGCCTGGGTAACAAGAGCGAAACTCCGTCTCAAAAAAAGAAAATAATAATAATAATAATAATTCCGGCTGGGTGTGGTGGCTCACGCCTGAAATCCCAGCACTTTGGGAAGTCGAGGCAAGCGGATCACCTGAGATCGAAGTTCAAGACCAGCCTGACCAACATGAAGAAAACCCATCTCTACTAAAAATACAAAATTAGCCGAGCATGGTGGTGCATGCCTGTAATCCCAGCTCCTCGGGAGGCTGAGACAGGAGAATCGCTTGAGTTCGGGAGGCAAAGGCTGCGGTGAGCTGAGATCCCACCATTGCACTCCAGCCTGGGCAACAAGAGTGAAATTTCATCTCAAAATAATAATAATAGTAACAATAATTCCAGTAACTAGGTGTGTTCCTTGATCTGGAATAGCAGAGTTTGGGCTTTGAGAGAGAAGTGCTTCTGGGAAGAGGGAAGGAAAGAGATAGAGATAGGCTTCTAGGATGACAGCAGCAGCCAGAGGACAGACAGCTACTCAATATACTCTGTGCCCAAAGAAATGGACAGTGAACACTTGCCAAGGCAGAAGGTACAATGCCAGGGGCCAGCTAGAGAGAGTGGAAAGCATAGTGTAAGGGTCATTAGCACAGGCCCAAGAGGAGTGTCTGGGGAACCAACTTTACAAGAGTGTCTTCCATACCTAGGCTCAGAGAAGACCCAGAATGTGACAGACACCCATACCCAGAGCAGAATGGATGAGCTAAGAACATGGGCAAGCCTGGCATAGGCCAACCTGGCACCACCACCCTAGCTCTGAGCAAGGGAGAAGGTCTAGGGCTTCAAGTGGAAAGTGGCGCCTTGACAACACCAAGGATGGGTTTGTATTTATTTACTCAGAGCAGGAGACATCTGCTGCACTAAAACTCCTCTTATCTCAAGTGTTTATTTTAGTTCTTCTTTCCCTGAAGTTCTTAGGAAAGTTCCTTTTCAAAGTCCCAACCTTTCAAGATTAGAGCTATGTAAATAATGTACACAGAGAAGAAGAGAGTGGGAGAAACACTTTAAAATGTTAGCAGTGCTTGTTTTAGTGAGCAGCAGCCAAATTGTTTTTCTTTTCTCTAGTTGCCAAATTCTTGTCCCGTGATTATATTATTTTTATAAAAAAAAAAAAAAAAAAAAAAAAGATGTTTAAGCAGAAGAAAAAAATCCAAGCTATCTTGGTTGCGACACAAAGTAGAGATTTCTGCTGCTTCTGCTTTGGCTGCAGAGTGAGGTGAGACAGAACACGGTAGGGGTCTGGCCTGAGGGGTATAATGAGAAGACAAGGCAAAGTGGAGTGAGGATGACAGACAGTCCCTCTGAGCTGCCCCCTTCTGTCCTAGTGCCTTCCGAGGCTTCAGGTCCTGGGAGTTATTTTTACAGAGTCCTGGCTCAACTGATGAAGATGAGGGCCCACACCCCATGGCATTTGTGGGATGATTCAGGAAAACATGAATTGGATGGTAAAAATGTCAGAAGATTTGGAGCTGGGGAAATGACCATCTCTTAAAAGTCCAATCTGCACAAAGGGAGGTCCCAAATGAGTAACCACAAGGCTTTGTCCTTAGGGTGTTCCCTCTAATGTTTTAAGAGCAAGCTGGATGGTCAGGCATGGTGGCTCATGCCTGTAATCCCAGCACTTTGGGAAGCTGAGGTGAGCCGATCACTTGAGCCCAGGAGTTCAGGATCAGCCTGGGCATGCAACATGGAGAAACCCCGTCTCTACTGAAAATACAAACATTAGCAGGGTAAGGTGGTGCATGCCTGTAGTCCCAGGTACTCCGGAGGCTGAGGTGAAGAATGACCTGAGCCTGGGATGCAGAGATTGCAGCGAGCTGAGATGGCACCACTGCACTCGCTCCTGGACCACAGAGGGAGACACTGTCTCAAAAAAAAAAAAAAAAAAAGCAAGTTGGAGGGAGACAGAGAAAAAACTAGTTTGCATGTGTTGATGACAAGGAGGTGGGAGATGAAGTTCACAGCCTCAAAATTAGTGCAACAGCCTAGACAGCTTGGCCCAAACTAAAAAGATAACATTGAACAGGGCCAAATGCAAAGGCCTATATTTAGGTGAAAAGAAAAAGTGTATATAGTTGAATGTTGTCTTCTTTCCTACCTTTCTTCTTCCCTTCCTTCCATGTTTTTTCCTTGCTAATCTGTGTTTTCTAAATTTTCTGCACTGGGCCTATATTACTTTTATAATGAAAAGTTACTTAAAAAAATAAATATGAGCCGGGGATGGTGGCTCAAGCCTGTAATCCCAGCACTTTGGGAGGCCGAGGTGGGTGGATCATGAGGTCAAGAGATTGAGACCATCCTGGTCAACATGGTGAAACCCCGTCTCTACTAAAAATACAAAACATTAGCTGGGCGTGGTGGCGCATGCCTGTAATCCCAGCTACTGAGGACGCTGAGGCAGGAGAATTGCCTGAACCCAGGAGGCGGAGGTTGCGGTAAGCCAAGATCGCGCCATTGCACTCCAGCCTGGGTAACAAGAGTGAAACTCCGTCTCAAAAAAAAAAACAAAAACAAAAACAAATATGACCAAAACAGCTGCCTGCTTGTGTGACTACAAGTTAATATATGCTGACTCCGAGAAAAGGGCTAAGAAATCCAGGGTAAGCCAGTGGGCCCCGCTTTGCCCCCACATTTTGGGGGAACATGAAAAAAGCAAGAGGCACAGGAAGGTAAAAGATTCAGAGAACAAAGACTTAGGGGAAAGGGGTGAAGAAACTGGAAGGTTTTGCCTGAGGAATGAAGACACCAGGCTGGTATCCCCACCTGAGGGCCTGTGGGGTGGGACACAGGGGAAGCAAAAAGCATTCCAGCTGCTGATGAATACCCAGCTAGGGCCAACAGACGGTGTTAGAATGAGGGCAGACTGGGATTCTGCAACAACAGTCACAACTAACAGTGATGACCAACAATGGACTGCACAGCCTCAGGAAGTATTGAGCTCCCTGTTGCCAGGTGTTCCAATTGCGTGGGACCAATGCTTGCTGGAGATGCTGCAGAGGCCTCAGCGCCCAGTGTCAAGCAGGCTAAGAAGCCCTTTACAGCAGCTTCTGGAACTCAGCCATCTGGATTCAACCAATGATTACCTGGAACTTCCGGCAGGAGGTGAGCCCTGCCCCCCCACCCTATCCTGCCCACTCAGTCTCTTCCTGGAGCTTGGCATGTCTCTCACCGTGGGGATGAATTGAATTTCATAGGCATCCACGGGGCCAGGAGCCCGGGTCCACTCTGTCCGAACTGTTGTCTCCTCTAGGAGATGCATCCTCATGCCTTCGATAGCTGGCACCTCTGCCCAAGAGAATGGGGTAGGGAAAGCTGGTTAGCACAAGGCAGCCACCCCTACCCACAGCCCCTTTCACTCAGGGACGTCCAAGAGGCCCATCCCAACTTCCGCTCCTCTCTGCTAGTGAGGAATAGCTGACAGAGGGCTGAGCAGGGCTTGGGTCTCCTTCACCTTCTCTCCATCTTCAGGAGCACAAAATCTCCCTAAATGCAACTAAATGGGCCCCAATCTGATCCTCAGAGATCTGAAGGCCAGTCCTGCCCACTGGCAACCCCTGTGGTTCTGCTGCCCCTGGTGGACACTGGCTCCTCCGAATGACGTGCTCTCCCTCCACTCTTCCTCAGGCTCAGGTCTTCCCCATGGCACCTGATCACAAAACCGCGGTCCCAGAGCACATTGGGTAAGGCTGGCTGCTCACCTTCCCCGCAGTCTTCACCGGCATACCCTTCTTTGCAGACACAGCTGCCATCAAGACACTCTCCTCGGCCACGGCAGTCCCCTGGGCATGTCTGGATGGCACAGTCAGGGCCTCGGAAGCCCTCTACACACACACACTGGCCTGCCCGGCACAGTTCCCGGGGCCCACAGCCTCCAGGGCAGGCGCTGGCTGGAGGCTCTTCCTGCCCGCAGTCCTCACCGCCATAGCCCACGTGGCACAGGCATACTCCCTGCACACAACGCCCACGTCCACGGCAGTCAGCTGGGCACGTACGGGTGGCACAGGCGGGGCCGGTGTAGCCTGGATTGCACAGGCAGCGCCCCTCCTCACAGTGGCCCCTTCCGTGGCAGTTGGAGGGGCAGGTGCGGATGCTGCAGTCCTCACCCACGTAGCCTTCCCAGCAGACGCACACACCGTCCTGGCACACGCCGTGCTGACTGCAGTCGCGCGGGCACCGCCTTACACCGCAGTCCTCGCCAGAGTAGTCGTCCTCGCACTCACAGCGCCCATCTAGGCAGCGGCCGCGGCCTCGGCAGTCCCCGGGGCAGGTGCGCATGCTGCAGTCTTCCCCTGAGTAGCCTGAGTCACACACGCACACGCCGTCCTCGCAACGGCCGTGCCCACGGCAGTCCCCGGGACAGCGACGGCTCCCACAGTCCTCATCGGTGAAGCCCGGGTTGCACACGCAGCGGCCATCCACGCAGCGCCCGCGACCGCGACAGTCGCCAGGACAGGCGCGCGTGCCGCAGTCCCGGCCTGTGTACCCCGGCCAGCACACGCAGCGGCCACTCTCACAGCGGCCACGGCCACTGCAGTCCCCAGGACAGCTGCGCACACCGCAGTCCTCGCCGCTGTAGCCCGCGTTGCAAACACACACGCCGTTCTCGCAGCGCCCGCGACCCCGACAGTCGCGTGGGCAGGCGCGCGAGCCGCAGTCAGGTCCAGTGTATCCCGGCCAGCACACGCAGCGGCCGTCCTCGCAGCGGCCCCTCTGGCTGCAGTCGCCAGGGCAGCTGCGCACGCCGCAATCGTCCCCGCTGTAGCCCGCGTCGCAAATGCATTCGCCGTCCTCGCAGCGCCCGCGGCCCCGGCAGTCCCTCGGGCATGTCCGCGTGCTGCAGTCCTCGCCCGCGTACCCGGGCCAGCACACGCAGCGGCCGTCCACGCAGCGCCCGCCCTCGCCACAGTCCCAGGGGCAGCTCCGTGTACCACAGTCCTCGCCAGTGTAGCCGGGGTCACACACGCAGCGCCCGTCCTCGCAGCGTCCCCGCTGGCTGCAGCCCCGAGGGCAGCTCCTCACCCCACAGTCCTCGCCAGTGTAGCCGGGGTTGCACACGCAGCGCCCATTCTCGCAGCGCCCCCTCTGGCTGCAACCGCGAGGGCAGCTCCGCGTACCACAGTCCTCGCCAGTGTAGCCGGGGTCACACACGCAGCGCCCGTCCTCACAGCGTCCCCTCTGGCTGCAACCCCGAGGGCAGGAGCGATGGCTGCAGTCGGGGCCTGAGAAGCCTGCCCGGCACACGCACACACCCTGCACACAGCGCCCACGGCCTTGGCAGTCCCCGGGACAGGATGGCCAGCCACAGCTGGGGCCAGTGTAGCCTGGAAAGCACACGCAACGACCGCGGACACAGCGACCCTGATCATTGCAGTCATCTGGGCAGGACCCGGAGGCTGATGGTGGGGAGGAGGGAGGCATCTCAGCATCTGTGGGGTCTGAGCAAGTGGGCCCACCCCAGCCTGGCTCACAGGAACAGGCGCAGCGGCTCAGATCAAACACACCATGGAGACTGCAGAGGCTCCGCACATCTGTCTGACCTGGAGTAGAAGAGAGAGGCAGGCCTCAGTCTCTCTCCTGGGAGAGATGCTGAGCCTATATAGGGCTCCTAGTGCTCCTATGTGCAGGGCCCCTAGCCAGGCCAGCCTCATCTCATAAGGCCAGTTATGAGCTGTCTGCTCCCAGTTGCTAATATGCCTAATGTTTGCAGCCTCTCAGGTCCCTCGAGTATGCTTTGGTTGACAGGTAGCCCAGCTCGGCTCTCCAAGTTGTGTTCTATGCTGCATCCATACCCCAGAGGGTGAGGAAGGAATGCCTTCTTCTAATTCATGCCAAGGACCTTTATTGGCTAGTAGTGCCTGTCCCACCCTAACCTACCTCTCCACCCTCTTCTGTGATCACCTGCTCACCTGTGCCAGCCTGCGCAGCAGAAGGACAACATCCCCCAGTGCATTGTTCCTTGAGCCCCTTCACCAACTCCTCCAGGATCTCTAGCCGGACCTTCAGGGCCTGCACCTCTGAAGCAGGGACGGGGGGCTCAGTGCCTGGGGGACAGCCACAGCCAGTGGAAGGGGGCAGGTTAATGCGGTGGGTGAATACCACCTGCTTCTCCCCTCCTTCCACTGTGTGCTCGTAAAGTTGAGAAGAGGGGCTTCCCCCTCCTGCCCCCACTGTGCGACCCCCTGGCTGGGGAGGGGGCCGGGGGGCCGGCAGCGTCACATTGGACCGTGAAGAGAAGGGGCCTGATCTGGCTGTGCCCAGCAGCACCAGGAGAGCCAGGCTGGAGGTTACAGGATGCTGGGTTGGCATCTTTCAGGAGGCTGCAGGGAGAGAGGGCACATATGAAAGCAGGTTCAAAAAGAAGGTGACAAAATGAATCCCCCCTTCTCTAGCACATACCCACAGTCTCACCAACCACAAGTAATCTGCCCAACTCACATGTATGTAAAAATTCACATTGAGCCCAACCCTGAAGGATACTCTCCCTGGGCAAGTCTGTTCTCCACCTCTCTGATATCATTTGGTTATCCTGCTCCTCACCCCCTTTTCTACTGTGTTCCCCTACACTGGTCTTTTGTTTGTCCCCCAAGCACTATAGGCTCTCACTACTCCAAGGGCCTTTGTACCATATGTTCTCTCTGTCTGGGATGCTCTTCACTCTGCTCTTAAAGGCTGGCTCCATCTTCAAATCTTAACTCCCAGTTAGGGCAGTCTTCCACTGCTCTCCATCACACATCCTGTTCCTGCTCTTCATGGCACTTACTGCTGCCTGAGTTATCTGTTTACCTGTTTATTACCTTTCTCTCAATACTAGAATGGGAGCTCCATGAGAACGAGGACATCATCTATCCCAGAATTGCTGTATACTTGTGTCTGGTCCATAAATGTTTTGGATAAATGTTCTATCCGACACATCAATGTTGAATGAATTAGTGGATGAGTACCTAGGGCCAATCCTTCCCCAAGCATCTGGATCCCACCTCTCCTTCTGTCTTCTAAGAAACCTTAAAGTGTAGATTATCTTCTCCCTCCCTCTTTCACTTACTTTTTTTTTTTTTTTTTTTTTTTTTTTTTTTTTTTTTTTTTTTTTTTTTTTAAATGATTCCACCTCTGGCTT